CCTGACTTTAGTGCCAATGCCTAAATGAGGTTCTGGAATATATATATATATATATATATATATATATATATATATATAAAATATTTATTTATATTTATATTAAATATATATATTTAAAGAAGCATGAATTAATCATTTTATAAATTAATTTTGTTGGTAATAAGTGTTCAATTTTTTAATAAATATTTTTATTAAAGTATGGAGAAAAGTACACCAATTATAGATGTGTCTTTAATGAATTATGATGAAGTAAACATACTCAAGAAACTACTGTCTAGGTCAAGAAACACAATAGAAAAGCAATAGAAGAAAAACAATACAAGACATTCAGAAGCCTACTTCACACTCTTACCCAGTCAGTATCCTCATCCTCTTTCTCTAAAGGTAACTACTATCCTGACTTCTAGAACACTATAGGTTACTATTATCTGTTTTTGAATTTTATATAAGTGGAACTATACCATATATATTCTTTGTTTGGATCCTATTTCATGGTATCTGTAGTGGTAGTTCATTCACTTTCTTCTTTTTAAAAATTAAGTTTCAAGAATAATTCAACATCTGTATACACTACAAAGTGATCATCCCCAGAAGTCTGGCTACCATCCCATTTACTTTCATTACTATAATAATCCATTGTTTGGGTATGATACCACCACAATCTATCCATTTTACAAGTAATATAAATGTTGTTATGAACAAACTTGTATATGTTTTGTTTTTGTTTTTTTTAATCCTCACTCGAGGACGTTTTTTTCCATTCTTTGTTCAGACAGAGCAGGAGGGAGAGAGGAAAAGAGAGAGAGAGAGAAACATCGACGTGAAAGGGACACATTGAGTGGGTGCCACCCATACGACCAACCAGGGCTGGGGACAATAGAGGCACATGCCCTTAGCAGGAATCGAACTCAGGTCTCTCTGGACTGCAGGCCGATGCTCTAACCGCTGACTCAAACTGGCCAGGGCTATATATGTCTTTTGGAGAACACATATATACATTTCTGTCAGATATATACATATCCATACTTATCCATGGGGTAAGAGTACATTTAACTTTAATCAATACTGCCAAGCAGTTTTACAAATTAACCGTTATCAGTTTTCATTTCCAAACGCTTCATATGAGAGCCCTAATTCCTTTTCACCTTCTTCAACAACTAATATTGTCAATAACTGTCCAATGTTAAATAAAAGACGTACATAGTTGGCAGTTTTATCTCATTTCTTATTGCAGGAGGAAAACATTAATTCATCATTAAGGAGGATATTTTCATAGTTTGGGGTAAATTAGCAAAGTTCATATTAAGTTCTTCTCTTTTCCTAATGTTACAAGATATTTTTATTTATCATGAAGAAAGTTGAATTTTATCAAATGCTTCTTATGTATCTTTTCATTGTCATTTTTTCTCTTTATTCCTATTAATATGAAAATTACATTGAAAAGTTAAAACAATCTTTTATTCCTGAGATGAACACAAATTGGTTGTGCTCCTTTGTACTTTTTTTCCTTAAATTCTTGATCAGCTTGCTAGAAATGCATTGATTTTATTGTGTTTTCATAAAACCAACTTTTGATTCTGCTAATGTACTACATTTTTGTTTTCTATTTATTATAATTTCTGCCCTCATATTTTGTATTAGTCAGTTTTCCAGATAAATAGAACTTGTAGGATGTATATATAGAAAGAGATCATTATAAGGAATTGGCTCACATGATTATGGAGGCGGAAAAGTCCCAAGATCTCCAGGGTGAGTTGGCAAACTGGAGACTCAGAAAGCCAGTGGCATAGTTCCATTTGAGTCTGAAGGCCTGAGGACCAGGAGAACTGATGGTATAATTCCAATCTGAAGGACAGCAGGCTTGAGATCCAGGAAGAGCTGATGTCCCAGTTAGAAAGCAGTAAAGCAGGAGGAATTCTCTTTCCTTAGAGGAGGGTGAGCCTTCTTTATTCAGGCAACTGAGAGGATGAGGCCCACCCACATTAGGGAGGCCAATCTGCTTTACTCAGACTACTGATTTAAATGTTAATTTCATTCAAAAAACACTGTGACAAAAAATCCAGAATATTTGGGGGCCCCATGACTCAATCTCTGGGTACCCCGTGACTCAATTGTTTTAGCATGTAAAATTAACCATCCCATCTTTGTTATTATCTTTCTTCTACTTTCTTTTAGTTTAATTCAATATATTTCAACTTTCACACTAAGATAATTGATTTTCAGCCTTTCTTCACTTTTTAATAAATGCAATAAAATCTATACATTTTCCTCTAAGCACAGCTTTAGCTATTATCCACGAGTTTTGATATATCACATTTCTATTATGATTTAAAATATATTCCAATTCAAGCCCTGGCCAGTTTGGCTCAGCGGTTAGAGCGTCGGCCTGCGGTCCGGAGAGACCCGGGTTCGGTTCCCGCTAAGGGCACGTGCGTCGGTTGCAGTTTGTCCCTGGCCCTGGTTGGTCGTGCGGGTGGCAGCCACTCGATGTGTCCCTTCGCGTTGATGTTTCTCTCTCTCTTTCCTTCCTCTCTCTCCCTCCCACTCTATCTGTACAAAAAATGGAAAATATCCTCGGGTGAGGATAAAAGAAAAAAAAAAATATATATATATATATTCCAATTCAACACTGATTTCTTTGACATATAAGTTATTCAGAAGTATACTGCTTAATTATTTAAGCAGTTAAGAGATTTCTTATTTATCTTTGATTGATAATTTTGCTAAATTATCCTGTGGTTAACAGAATATATTGTGTATTATTTTAATCCTCTAAATTTGTTGAAACATGTTTTATGGATCAACAAATGTATAACTTCAGTAAATACTCCAGGTACACTTAAAAAATAATGTGTAGTGCGCAAGTATTGGGTATAATGTACTATACATGTCAACTAGGTTGAATTAGTTAATCATGTTGTTCAAATTTTCTTTGTCCTCACTAAATATTTCTTTTTTTTTTTTTTTTTATGCTTTCAGTGACTCAGGGAGGTGTATCTCCAACTACAATCGTGGGCTTGGGTACTTTTCATTTTAGTTTTGTCAAATTTGCTTTTTTTCTTAATTCTTTCAAATTACACACACAAACCAAGGAATCATGAAAAACAAAAACATGGTTCAGATATGCATGTTTCAGTTAACATGGTTACCATGCAAAGCAAGCACTACCTATACAATATGAAGCTATATTATTAAACATATACAAATTGAGGATTATTACTTCTCCTACTCAATTAACTATTACAAAATCTTCCCCTTAGAAAAAGTTCTTGCTTTTAGGTCTCCTTTTATGGACTGACTATAAAAATGTTTGTGTCCTCTTAAAATTCATATGTTGAAATCTTAACTCTGAATGTGATGAATTAGGAAGTGGTACCTTTGGAAGGTTTCATGAGAGTGAAACCCTTATAAATGGGATTAGTCATCTTATAAAAAGGACTCAACAACTCTCTTGTCTTCTGAGGACACAATGAGAAGACAGCCATCTAGAAATGAGGCCCTCAACAGATATCAAATCTGTTGGGGCCGTGATATTCGACTATCAAGCCTCCAAAACTATAAGATATAGATGTTTGTTGTTTAAGCCATCCAGTCTATGGTATTTCTTGTTATAGCAGCCAAAACTGACTAAGACATCTACTTCGTCTATTAGTATAGCTACACTAGTTTTCTTTGCTTAGGGTTTCCATGATATATCTTTTCCCATCCTTTTATATTAAATTTTTCTATATCCTTAATTTTAAAGTGTGTCTCTTGTAACAACATGTTGTTTTGACACATCTGCAAATTATTGTCCTTTAGCCGATTTAATCTGTTTACATTGAATTTAATTGCTGACATACTTTAGAACAAATCTACCTCTTTTATATTAGTACCATTTGTTTAATGTTACTGGTTCCTTTTGGGTTAATAATTATTTATTATCCCAGTGTCACACTCTATTAACTTATCAATTAAACAGATATTTTTATTCTTTTAGTGTTACCACAAGAACACAAAATGTTTCAATGACTCAACAAACTATAATGTAAATTAGTATTTGTTCTACTTTCTGGAAGTTATAAGGACCTTAGAACTTTATTGGTTTTCATACCAACTTTTGACCTATTTTTAACTTGTATTTTAATTCTCTATGTTACACTCCTAGAAGTCATTGCTATTATTTGTATCAAATAGTCCCTTACATTTATCCATATTTGTTGTTCTTTACTCCTCTTTCTCTGTTCTTTTAAAATGGATCAATTTCATTTCCTTAGAGAATTCCTTTAGTTTTTTTTTAACTAGAGTATATTTTCTATTAATGAATTCTTGCAAATTGTGTTAAGTTGCAATAATTTTAAGGATTTTTTTTGTAGAGTACAGAATTCTGTGTAAGCAGTTGCTTTTCCCCCCCCAGAACCTTGATATTATCACTCAAATGTCATCATTTCCCATTTTTCTGTTGAGATGTCTGCTGTTAGTCTTACAGCTTTTTTGTTTTTCTCTAAGACTTTTCTCTTTGTCTTTGATATGCCTAGGTGAACTTCACATTTTGGTAAGTTCAAAATGTTTTGTGACTATAGTACATCTTGGATTTCAATATCTGTCATTAGTTTTAGGAAATTATCATTCACTCACTCTTCATATACTGTTGCTATCACATTATCTCTGTTTTTCTGTGACTCTAATTACACATACATTACACATTTTTACTGTATCCCAAATGCTTTTTATGCTTTTATCTCACCATGCTTTAGTCTAGCTATTCTATCTTCCAAGTCACTAATTCTCTCTTTATCTGTTTACAATCAGTTATTTTATTCTGTTATATTGTTCACTTCTCTGATGAAACCTCTGTCATTTTTAGTTTATTAAACATTTGAATCAACATATTTTAATTTTAAGTTACATTGAATGACATGAACTATGCTAGAGATGTTAGGTATTAAATAATAGTAAGAAATACCTTTATTCAAAAATGAGGAAAATAAATGCAAGAATAACGGTATTGTAATACTCACTTTCCCTTCATCTCTTGGGCTATCACTTAAATGTACAACTGGACCTGGATGAGTCTTTGTGGATCTGTTAAATCAATTTAAAACAGTAATTAAAAAAATAAATATTAAAACACCTTACCGTTAGAGACTGAAAAAAAATTTAAGACTATACTGGAATATACCCCCAATATTCTTGGGTTTAGCCTAATTTTATTTGAGTTTTGGGGGTTTTTTTTGTTTTGTTTTGTTTTTTAGATTACTTTTCTCTCTCCTACTAACTCTATTAAAGTAGGTGTGATTTTTTAAAAATCAGGTTTAAGAACATAAATCCACACAATGGGATTTTTTTATTATTTTATGTATTTGTTGCCAAATCTAGGCCTCTGAAAATTTGAAACTAAACTTTTGCTTATACAAAGGCCAACTTACACAGCCACAAGACTGATGCTGTAAACCTGTTTCAACCAAGTTGCAAAGTGCATACCTGATTTTAAATTTCCTTGTGACATAAAATCTCTGACTTTGCTAGCAATACAGAAAACTGACAAACTAGGAAAACCAAGTTTGTTGGTTATGTCTCATTTATCTAGCTATCTAGGGTAATCAATAACAGAACATTATGAGTCTAAGAGCATATTGTTAAAAAGTTTTCTACTCTGTCAATATTACTTTAAATTTATTTTACTCTGATATCTGACATGCTTCTTTTATATTTCCTACTTTAACTTATCATTGTTGAATATGATTATGTCATGGTTAAAAATGACATAATCCGATATGACCATAGATTTATTATTGCTCAATTTTCCACATTCTTTCTTCAATGACCTAAGTGTGCCAGATTAGTTATATTTATACTGACATAGCTATAATTCATTTCTTAACAACACATGAAAATCATCAAAGATTCTGTACAAAACAATAAATGTTTAAATTTTTGAAACTGTTTGGAATCAGACAGAGAAAAGTGACAAATTAAGTAATTCCAGGTTCCCCATATACTGACTCCCCAGAGTCACTCAAAGGAATAAATACAAATTTACTAGATATTTTGTTAGTGGTTTGGCCCTAAATTTTCTCATCTAAAAATGGAGATAGTAGTACTAACCCCACTAAATAATTGCAAGGATCAGAATATACATATAGCACCCAATAGAACGCCAAAACATAGTGAGTACTCAACAAGTAGTATGTATCATGATTGTTGTAAACCATTGGAATAACTGAAAATCAGAGTTACTATTTGCATTCTAGAGTATATGCAGGAAGAAAAAAACAAAACAGGGCTTTATAAAAACTTTACAGAGCATTTAGCAGCTATATCATTTACACATAAATGCAGTGTTTTATTATAGTATAAATGACTCTGATAGGGGCAATGTCCTTCAATTATCCTTTAGGAACTAATAATATGCAACAAACCACAAACCCCTATCTCTCTCTTTGGTTTGATTGGAGCAACAAATACCAAAGTGTAATCCATGATAAACTAATGAATATATAAGTGTATCCATGATAAACTAATGAATATATAAGGTGTTTCACATAAAGAGTGTTTCATATCAAAAAAAGTTGGGGAAACACTGAATTAAAGTTAAATATTTTCTTCTTCTATAGAACTTCTTAGGGCTATAATATGCAAATGAGCATTGCAAATCTTCAATATTTTCCAAAATTATTGATCCATAGAATTCTTTTTTATTGTCCAAATTAAGGAAATCACTAAAATATACTTTTAAGAATCACTAGTTACACCATTTGCAAGATTTCCATTTAGAGTCCCAGACTCTATAAAACACACAAATTCAGAAAATAACCTACCATTAATTTTCCCCTATTTGTAATGACTTTTTCTAACTAGAGAAGAAATATAATTTATTGTAAAAAATAAAATAAAACTTAGAAAATACCAAAGGTTAGAAGGCAAAAATTCTCATTATTTCACTGCCTAGACATAATGATTGACTTTTTGATATATTTTTTCTGACCTTTTCCCTAATATTAAACTTCAAAAAACCACAAAGCATTCCTACAAAACTTATGGCCATTAGAAACTGACTTTAAAAGTGAAAAAAAAAGCATCTATATACTCCAGATTCTGTAAATCCTACAAAAATTACTTTAGATAGAATTAGCAATAAACTTAAATTCATGTAATAGCCCAGAAATATCTCTAAGTATTCCTATTTATTTCTCTTCCTCCTACTCACCACAATGGTTCTTGATAGTTTTCTTTGTGGACTTTCTGTTTCTATATCTTAAATATTGGTATTCTTTGGATTCTATTCTGTCCTAGACTGCCATCTACTCCCATATTAAATGTGGTCATGAATTCAAGGGCCCACAGGAGCCAGGCAGGTATTGCAAATGAGTTATATAGGCTAAATAAGAACTGTGCTAAACTGGATAGCACATTACCCACTTACTAAAAGATAGCTGTTACTCATTTCTCCAGTTGGTTACTGATGGCCATGCAACAATGCTAGACTAGGATTGTCTCATTATGAATGTTTTTCATGAAAAGCTGAATTTTTATTTCTACTCTACCAATTTTTAAATATTAGAAACTAATAATTCAGATAACATTGAAATACGTTGATGGCCAAACAAAACGTATCTGTGAATTGGTTCACGGTCTACCAGTTTGCTACCACTTTTCTATACACTCTTCATACACAATCTCATCGATTCTCATGGTTTCAATGAGAATGTAAATTCTGGTCTCATTAATACAATAATTAATAAATAATAATATAAGAATAAACTCCGTTTTGTGTACTTCAACGGTAAACCTCCCTTTGCCCAACCCTGAGTACATTCATTCTAATATGAGAGAATGAGCCAGCCTCAAGTCAAAACTTATCTTATTAAGGAACTAATATATATAAAGCATAAACATTAATTAAAGAAAAATTATTTTTCTGATTAACCAGGAAAATTATCGGTGTATATACAACAAATAGATGGCTTGGAATTCTATGAAATTTCACATGGGGATTTCACATTTTACATGGGCAGAATTGTAAATATCACTGTCAAGTCAAAGTGGTGATTGCCATCAACCACATACCCAAATAACTATTTATATCACAGCATAAAAATATTAATAGATTCTTCTTTGAACCCAGAACAATATGTTAATGTGGCAAAAAAATAATAAGCTCCAACATTAAAAATTACTGGGTGGCATTGCTCAGCTTGTTGGAGCATCTGGCTCAGTTGGTTGGCTCAGTCAGTTGGAGCACTGTCCTGTACACTAAAAGGTTGCAGGCTGATTCCTGGTCAGGGCACATACCTAGGTTGCAGGTTCGATGCCCAATTGGGGAGCATTCAGAAGGCAACGGATTGATGTTTCTCTCTCACATGGATGTTTCTCTCTCTCTCTCTCTCTCTCCTGCCCCCCCTTCTCTGTCTCCCTTCCTGTCTCTCTAAAAATCAATACATGTCCTCTGGTGAGGATTTTTTTTAAAAAGTACAGGATGGAGCAAAAGTAGGTTTATAGCTGTTCATATGGAAAATAATACGGTAATTAATAAATAGCAATACAAGAATAAACTTTGTTTTGTGTACTAACAACTATAAACCTACTTTTGGCCCACCCTGTATGTGAATTGATCATGAATACTTTTACATAAAACTAAATGTGGCCACAATCCACTTGCCATTATCAATGAAAGTGACTATACTAAGGTTGACTATAAAGAAGCATGAATAACTTTTAGAATTACTATTTTATCATCAAATTTTGCATACATCCCCTTAATTACTTATAGTATTTAGAAAGTCTAAAAGTAGCATATGTTAATATTGTAATATCTATTTTTAAAAGCCTTTATGGTTTCATATTATTTTGGTTGAATTTTTTGCTCATATTAATCATAAATTAGCTATAATGTTTTAAATAACTCTGCAATTTGATATAGTTTATATAACCAGATGAAATATTTAAGCTCAATAAAATGATATTCAAGTTCAAACTTACAGTTCAATTGCCTTGTTCCACATGATAACATATCCAGAAAGAATAAAAGATTCAATATTTACAATATGTGTGTTTCCTCTTTCTGTTCCAACATAGAGCCATTTACTCTGGAAAGGTAGATGACAGTAAGTAATTCTGAAAGAAAGAAAATTACAATTAAAATATCTAATTGTATGTCTATTCAGTATTATAGTTTCTTTACACTTATTATGTAGTGATAGCTACATAAACAATAAAATTTACTATATACTCAAATAACATTTAGTTATTAGTGAGAATAAAGGATAAATGACAATATATTATTAAAAACCATAATGATAATGTCCACTATTAAATCAGTATCTAACATAGGCACTAATATAATTTCTAATTCTGAAAACAGCACTACAAGACAGATATATACTCCTGTTTTACAACGAGGAAACTAAGGTCAATTTTTTATTTTATTTTTACTTGTCTAGGACTGACAGCTAATAAATAAGTGGCAAAACTGGAATTAAAATCTATTCTTGTTTGGTTGCAAAAGTACCATCTTTCTTCCAAGCTACACTGTCTGCTTGCTTGTTTATATTCAGTAATGTTCAGTTCAAATAAAAATTAGGTAAATTTAAAACATAAATTTCAGAGTTATCAGAGTTTGTAGTTATATCTACTTAAGATGATAAATTATCTACTCTTTATTCAGATGCTTGGCATCTAAGTAGTACAAAGAAAACTTATAAAGTCAGAGATACACTGTACTATTCCTTTTGTTTTTTGGTTTGTTTGCTCTGCCTCATTTTCACAGTGGGCTTTCTGACCAATTCTGGGAGCCTGTCCCATAGCCAGAGAAACCATGACTTCTGTATATAAAATCTGGACATTTAACAGAGTCTTCTCTTCAGAGCATCATCACTCTTTCTAGTTTCACCTACTCGTGCTCTTTAATAATTCTTAAAAACGACAATAGGGATAAGTTCACAGTTATCCCTTACCAGAACTTGTTATTGAACCATAATATTTCCTGAAGTTTACTCAGAAAAGAAGCTAGTAAACTAGACAGAATTCTGATGCCAGAGAAAAAGACCGACATGAAAAAAAAAAAAAAAAAAAGGAATGTGAATGGTAAATTCTCAACAAGCAACAAGATTCCATCTTGTACCTCTTTATATAAGAGTAAACATCTGGTCCATCAAATTTATATTCTCAGCTTGGTTCATTGAATTATTTAACAACATACCTCTCTAAACCAATCTTCATCTATTCAAAAGTATTCTGCTGAAAGCACCTTGCACACTGTATCTAAAAAATTAGAAGCCATGCTATTACATATCACTTACAGAGTCAATTGACAATCTAATTAAAGTATAATTAACCTACATGATTGGACAATTCTGATTAAAACCTAAAGGATAGAACTGCTATTGCCAAAAAATATTTAATAATGTCCCAAAGAAAATAACTTGATGACCATGTTTCTAGGTCATCAATTTTCAATTCAATATTAGTAGAAAGAGGAAAATTGTGTTAAAGAGGATTTAAGATCACCCTTTCTGAATTACAATGAGAGTAGAAAAACACTCATCCCATGAGAGTAGACAAAAATATAGAAATTCAGGTAGAAAAATAACAAACTTCAATATAGTCATTTCCAAGGTGAAAATGAAAAGTCTAAAACTGCCAGATTTCAGTAATGAGACCTGAAGCAAGAGGCAGAATTCCAATACAGACATTATAGTACAGTAACAATGGAATACATGAAGAAGACCAAACAGGATTTGAACTATTCCTTGAACCAATACCACTTTTTCCCTCATTCTTTTTTTTTCTAAGAAAGCCTTTGCAAAAGATTCCCTCATTCTTATTGACAAGAAACTAGACCTTTGATGACAAAAAGTTTTCATTTATGTTCATTGTCCAAATGATGGGTAGTGTTTGAACAACTAATTAAGAAAGATTCCCAGACTTTATCTGAACCCAATAAAAAAGAGTAATGTGAAGTACTTAAGATATTGACATAGATAAGGGACAGGGCATTACACCTGTGCTGTATATTTGATGACCATAATAAGTGACTAAATAACCTTATATAACTTAATTTGTTGCATTTAATAGTTATACTTTCACTTGTAATATATTTCTACCATCACCTCCTGCACAATGAAGAATTTTCTGTTATATGTGAGCCTTATGAAATAATCTTGTTTGTTCACTTTCATTCTTCTGTAGTAAATCATCTAAGACATTTTTAGTCTTCTATTCATTCACTAAGTAATTCAGCCTTCTCTGAATTATTTTTTATAAAAAGCACTGTTCTTTATTGCAACACACCTACATTTTTTCCCTCAAAAAACATACCATGTAATAGGAGAGATAAGAAAAGTAGACAACTAAGAAAAATAAAAGTAAAATCATCAATTGCTATAAAGGGTTCAAAAGAGGGAAGAATTAATTTTTGTAATGAAAATCAAGAAAAGTTAATGTAGAAAACTGGACTTGAATTGGGCCTTTACTGATCAAATAACTGTATAATTTGTTTTATATGTTATATAACCATATTAAATAAATGTTTCTCAAGCTTGAATAATGTATAGATCTTTAAAAATTTTTTGCTGATCTTCACTTTTGACTTACTTTTATAAATTCTTTATGTATAGAATAACAGCTTATGTATAAAAATAAAATAAGATATGAACTCCTCATACTTATGGCTATTGTTATTGAATTCTCATATGAATTCACATGTGTGTATCTGCTTATAAGTTTCACAAAATGTGCCATTAATCAGAATTGTTTATCATAAACTCATAAAGTGTAGATTAATGGAAAAATACAAATTAAACACAAATAAAACTACAACTAGAATTCAAATTAGTGACATTAATGTATGTTACAGATAAATTATGTCACAGAAATACAATAACATCACAGTATGGATGAGGATCTCACTGTACTTTTTAAAAAAATTTGGTGTGTCTATACTTATTCTGTGCTTCTCTTTCATCATTTGACTCTATTTGAACAGCTTTGTATTCTGTTCTGAAGTACACCATCACATAATTTTACAATCATTCAGTATAAATGAATATATGTGTGCACAGTCAACTTCTGTTATTTAATTAATTCAGAACGATTAAAATATGCCCTGGCAGGTTTGGCTCAGCAGTTGGAGTGTCAGCCCGCAGACCAGGGGGTCCTGGGTTTGGTTCTAGCTAAGGGCATATACCTCGGTTGCAGTTTGGGCGCAGTTTGTCCCTGGCCCCAGTTGGGGTCATGTGGGTGGCTGGCAGTCAATGTGTCTCTCTTGCATTGATGTTTCTCTCTCTTTCTCCCTCTCTTCCTCCCTCTCTATTTGAAGATAAATGCAAAAATGTCCTCAAGTGAGGAATAAATGATTAAATAAATAAAACAACACTACTTGGTGCCATCACAACCATAAGTACAAATTTAACTTCACTTATTGGACCTGTGTGGCAGTGTTTTTTGCATGGTTTACTCAAATCATTCAGAATGTTTCTATTAGTCTCATTATAAAAGAAAAAATATTATAATCAAATTACTATGAAAAATTCACAACCCCAAGAAAATGCCCATAGGCCCTAATTTGAGAAACACTATCAATACATAAGCCAAAATACATTTTTAAAAATAAATGGTTTAAAATTATGAAATTTAGTGGGAGATTTCAACTTTAAAGCTTTCCCCCCTAAGTTCTAACATAGTTCTATTTTTAAAATGTTTTTATTGATTTTTTTTTTTTTTTTTTTTTTTTTTTTTTTTTTTTAGAGAGGAAGGAGAGAGAAACATCAATGGGAAAGAGAAACATAGATCAGCTGCCTCCTGCACCCCTCCTGCTGGGGACTGAGCACAAAACCTGGGTATGTGCCCTAACTGGAAATCAAACCAGGACCTCTCAGTCCATGGGATGACTCTCAATCCACTGAGTCTCAATGGCGGGGCCATAGTTCTATTTTTTGTCTGCATTCCAGGTGAAACCTTTGGTACCAGGCATGATGATTCTGGCTTCAGTCAATTCTATAATGTTTGTAATTATGCTTTATAAGCTGGTAACACTCAAAATAAGATATACAATGATTCTGGATATTAAAAATACAAATGCCAGGGAAAATCATTCAGTATTCTGAGGTAATATTGAACAATAATGTTTTAAAACACTTTTGGGTGGTTTTGATGCACAACCACATCATTAAATTAGAGCAACATGAAGAAGTCCAAAACACTAATTTGAAAAGATCTATGCACCCCAATATTCACTGCAACATACTTCACAATAGCCAAGATATGGAAGCAACCAAGGTTTCTATCAATAAACAACTGGGTAAAGAAGGTGTGGTACACATATTCAGCCATTAAAAAAGAATGAAATTTTGCCATTTGTAACAACATAACAACATGGATGGACCTAGAAGGTATTATGCTAAGTGAAATAAATCAAACAGAGAAAGACAAACACCATATGATTTCACTTATATGTGTAATCTTTAAAAACAAAATAAATGAGCCCTGGCCGGTTTGGCTCAGCAGTAGAGCATCAGCCTGTGGACCAATGAGTTGCAGGTTTAATTCAGCCAAGGGTGTGTACCTCGGTTGCAGTTTGTCCCTGGCCCTGGTCCAGATCATGCAGGAAGCAGCCAGTCGATGTGTCTCTCTCATGTCGATGTTTCTCTCTCTCTCTCTCTTTTTCTCCCTGCCACTCTATCTGAAGATAAATAAAAAATATCCTCAGGTGAGAATTAAAATAAATAAATAAATAAATAAATAAATAAAAACAAATGAACAAACAAAACAGAAACAAACCTGTAGATACACAGAATTGGTGGTCATGAGATGGGAAGGGAGTTTGGGGGATAGGTGAAAGGGATTAAGAAGTACAAATTGCCAGCTATAAAAACAGTCACAGGGATATAAACCACAACACAGGGAATACAGTTAATAATATTGTGGGAGGCAGCCAAAATGAAGAAACAAAGAAACATGTCCCAAACGAAAGAACAGAACAAAACTCCAGGAAAAGTGCTAAACAAAATGAAGATAAGCAATGTAACAGATTAGGTACCTACAAGAGAGTTCCCATAAGGCTGTCAGCTGATTTCTCAAAAGAAACTTTGCAGGCCAGAAGGGAGTGGCAAGAAATA